CCACACGTTTTTCTGCTGCCGCTGAATCGCCAGAGCGTAATGGGAAATTTTTTTTTTAGAGCAAGTTTCGACGAGGAGAAGGGTTGTCCGAGTAGTTAGTACATGGGGGTTTTAGATGTTGCAGCTGGTATCGACACTGATTGAACGTGATTTTTGGCGCGATGGATGGGAGAGCAAGTGGTTGGGAGAGACGATGAATGTGTTTTGGTCGAGGGAAAAGGGTTGCTGTTTGCTGTGCAAGGCTGTGAGAGTGAATCTTTTGTAATTATCAGACTGATCGTTTTGGTTGAACTTCGAAGTTTGAGTGGGACTCCAGAGTCTCGTATATTCTGACGAATTTTTATTAACAATTTATGCGTCGCGAGGATCAAATACACCCCAACCCACTATGGAGTTTCCCCGTTCAGGCCATTCGATATATCCCCGCCTTCTCCTTCCGCTGACTTAATCCTTTCGATACTAAGTAGTCAGGCGACTAAGTAGTCAGCCATCGTTGAGTCAGCCATCTTGCTGTTTTGAAATCTTCTACACAAAATCATATTATATTAAGCAATTTTATAGTGTTACTATCGTAGGAACCGACGGAAAAATTATATGAGAATGTATCTAATGGAGTTAGCTTTCAGACACATCTACTTGATTGTACGAGAATTTAGTAGAAAGCTGTGAAATTATTGAAAAACCGTAAAAGTACCCGGTATCGTTCCCGACATCGCGTACTAAAATTGTTAACAACTACTTATTGAAAGGGTTTAGAGCACTAAAATCTATATGAGAATGTTGCTGAAGGTCCACACTTCATTCGTCAACTCTAAAAGTTCACAAAAACCTTGGTAAATAATGAGTTGTTAATGATTCTCCTAATGCTATCCTTATCTATTTACAGCTTTTCGTTTCCTTATCTCTCTTCGCTGTTGCTATCCTCGTCATCCCTATTTTATTTCATTGATAATTATAATCAATTCTTAATTGCTGTAACATTACTACTAATGTATGTAGAGGGGTTATTTATAGGGGTGGAGAAATATGTTGAGAATGTATAATGACGTTTTGTTTGCGCGGAGCCTTTGTTCCCGTGTGAGTTGATGTTGCAAGTTGATCGAGGTGTGGGACACGGTTGCAGTAGCAAGAAAAGAACATTTATATCGTTGAACGGTGACTTTTCGGTAGCAAGATACTTTTATTTCACTGTTCATCTTTGAAACTTGAATGTACACATTGTCGCAGT